CTACATGAAACAGAATCAGAAGGACACTTTTGGAAAATTCACTGAATATATACCAATTAGCTGATAAATGAGCCTGACCTACATAGTGTAGATCTGATCCAGTGAAAGAGCCCACACTTGTTCTGCTGGAGAATGAAAGGATTTCAAGCCATGGAAGCAGCTCTTTCTTTTTTTAAACAGAAAAGATGCTGTTTTATTCATAAAGAGAAAAATGTGTTGCAGTTGGTATAAAAAAGGAAAATCACCAAAGCTGGAAATATTTCCATTCTTTGCCCTTTTTTCAGTCATCAAAAGTCAAAATATGGTTCTCATAGTCTTCTGCACAAAAGGCTTCCCCTAGACACTCCTCCTTCCAATTCCATCTGTAATTACATCACTGTTGGGAACCCTGAAAGTGCCATCTGGAGGTCATAAATCTCATCACCCCATGGAAAGACCTGATTTCTGGGAAAGGGCAGTGTATTGTCATGGGAGGCTCTGAATTTGGAGAGGGAGTCTGCACGGTGTTGGAGACTTGAGAGTCACTTTCCTTCATTGCCAGCGTAACATCTAAGGACACGGTGCTGGCTCATGCTGCCAATCTTAGCCAAGACCATAATGTTTTGGCTGGGGTGAGGTCATCTCTAGATTTTCTCAGGCCAAAGATGCTGCTGAGGGAAGTCTCCTACGGCCTAGCTGGGCACTTGCATTTGTGACCATCACGATCTGATGGCTTGCTGATGCTGGTGCTGTTGCTGATCCTTTAATGAGGGCAGAAAGGTGTGCTCCGCACCCCAAAGGCTAATTGGCAACCAGGGCAGATGAGCAGTTATTTTAGCATTTTATAATGCCTGTCTTGCTCTTCGTGAACCGTGTACACAGAGGTCACTGTGGACTGGATGAAAGACATTTTTTGGATCAAGGGAAAAATGATGTCCTTTGTCAAGGTTACCGTCCATTGATTTTCATGAATTCCTTTCTTCCACTGTATTGTACAGAGTAATTTGTTTTACTCCAGCTTTCTCACTGTCCGTATTCCTTTTCCCTTCTCCTTGGCTGGGCCAGCAAACCTCCCTACAGCTGACTTTCCCCTCACTGACTAGCATTAAAATTGTCAGTCTTAAAAACTATCACAATATGTAACTCTAGAAGAAGAAGGGAAAGGATGCAGCCGTAGCTTCCTGGACGCGAAAGGGACCAGCCAGAGACACTGACGGGGGAAGGCAGGTCTGACAGCCTCTTGACCTCTACCTAGGCAAAATTACACTTTCAATTGCCAGGTAATTGGAGAGTTAAGTTTATGACCTCTGAATTTGGCCCACGTGACTGAGAACATGAGCCTAATGAGGAAACACCTTCATCAGAATTACAGCATTTCTGTTCTGATCAGTTCACAAAATCACAGAATGGTTGAGGTTGGAAGGGACCTCTGGAGATCATCTAGTCCAACCCCCCTGCTCAAGTAGGATTAGCTAGACCACATTGCCCAGGATTGTGTCGAGACAGCTCTTGAATATCTCCAGCGAAGGAGACTCCACAACCTCTCTGGGCAACCTCTTCCAGTGCTCTGCCACCCTCACAGGAAAGAAGTTTTTCCTCATGCTCAGATGGAGCTTTCTGCGTTTCCATTTGTGCCCGTTGCCTCTCATCTTGCCCTGAGCACCACTGAGAAGAGTCTGGCCCCAGGCTCTTGACACTTTCCCATCAGATACTTATACATGTTGATAAAACCCTCCTCAGTCTTCTCTTCTCCAAGCTGAACAGCCCCAGCTCTCGCAGCCTTTCCTCATATGAGAGAGGCTCCAGTCCCCTCATCATCTCTGTAGCCCTTCACTGGACTTACTCCAGTAGTGCCATGTGTCTCTTGTGTTGGAGAGCCTAGAACTGGACACAATACTCCAGGTGAGGCCTCCCCAGGGCTGAGTAGAGGGGCAAGATCACCTCCCTCCACCTGCTGGCAACACCCTGCCTAATGCACCCCAGGATCCCATTGGCCTTCTTGGCCACAAGGGCACATTGCTGCCTCATGCTTAACTTGTTGTCCACCAGGACTCCCGGGTCCTTCTC